CTGCAGGCGCCATTCATTTGCAGTTATAGTGTGCAGCAGATGGAACTCTCTACCACCTCAAGTGCTCTTTGCGCCAACAGCAGTTAGCATGTTTCAAGGTTCAGCTTGATGAAGCTCTGGCAAACATTATATTTCAACACCCAACTACATAATATATTCTCCTGTGCTCATCAAAAACATTACATTACTATTTTACTTTCATGGACTAACTGTGATCTTGTGAATCGTCTTTTGAACGAAAGTGTATGGCATTTGATAAGCGAGGTCTTTGTAAGTTTTTTCCCATACTAAAAAGGTGAATTTAAATTTGAATATACCAAACTACAAAAATCAATAGTAATTTTAACTTTCCACACAAGGTGACAAATATGAGTTGGGAGTAAATCGCATTATGCTTTTGCTTCGACCACACGAGGTGCAGTAGGAAAGTCGAATTCGTAAGAGAACGTTCATTTAGGGAAAAAGCTTAATTCCTATTTCCAATATGATATTTAATTCTTCAAGTTTTCAATAAATGTCCTAATTGAGTAATGCCAAAAGCTTGAAAAACGAAGAATAACTAATGTTATTCTTACGGTATTTTTTGCAGTTCAATGATGTAGGCAACGGGTGCTTCATACTCCGGGTGGATAAAGGATGAACTTCGTATAGGTACATGGCTTCTGTAAACACAGTATTCGGTCATAGTCTATTTCCAGGCAGCCACTTTATTTCATGAAATGAATTCATCTAAAATTCACTTACCTTATTTATCTTCCCCCAAAATATACCATTCTCGGTAAGTAACATTTGGATGAACCAGCGAAAGTTGTCCCCGAATGAATTGAGGAAACACAGCAAAATAATAGTTGTTTCATATCTCTATGGAACATTTGCTTTTCAAATCGTTACTAGCGCCGTTACAAACTGTCTCATACCATTCATAATGCGAAAAAGATAATTTGATCACTGAGGAAACTGATGATGCGCGTTGCGGAAAACCCAACACATGAATCCCCTGGGACCGAGTTTGATTGTATCTGATGGAATGGAATAAATATAAACTATAGGAGAGTTTGGGTGGGGCTAAATCCCACGCAGAAAAGAAAAATCGTTTTTGTTGTTAGCAAGTATACATTTGAATTTTGAAATAGAAGAAAGTTAACATTTAGAATGCATGCAAATATGAACAAAGATTTCATACATTCACATTGGAAACAAAGCTTCACATTTTATAACAATGTATCAATAAACTAGTCCCAAAGATCAAAATGCTTAAGATCGAAAAACCAGCCAGTATACCTTTGGCTAAACCACTTCACCCTGAAAGAATTTTTCCACACCTGAAGAATATGCTGCGGTATTTATCTTTGATTCCGAATAATCATACAGAATAACAATGAAACCGATATCGGTGAATACAAGCAGTCACAAATTCACAGAAACATTTGGGTTGAGAGCATGGTTCGCAAGCCAGAATGAGTGCAAGAACAATCGGTGAAACTTTTAGAAGTATTTGCAACTTTTGAAACCTTGATAAAATTATAAAAAAGAATAAGGTATGGTGCGGGACGGTATGAACTCTATGAAGTTTGTGACAAGAGGGTTAGATGGGGAACATCAAATGAGAAAATGGTGGTAATGCGAGGGAACTGCAGAACATGAATTCATTTTGGGATATTCAGCATAATAAAGTAGCACACCAAAACTTCAGCGTCGCACCACGTCAAACCTTTCATCGAAACAAGGCATTGATTTTTTTATCCTCATGATATTAACAAAATGGGTTCACCTCTTCCACCCTAATTGAATCTATTTTGGTGCAACACTGTGCAAATGAACCGGAGCGGTTTTCGATGATTAGTGCGTGCTTGACATGTGTTCGTATCGGTGACTAGCAACTCCGATTTGTAAGTTGCGTACATTACCGATTACTTTCGTGATTTATCAAATTAGCACGCATACGCACGAAATCAGTTGTGCGCCAGACCGCCTTAGCGCTATTCCTTTAGGTTGCATCCATTGCACTATTCCCACAGTTCTATTACTGGCTCCATTAGATATTGTGAGCTCACCTTTGTGCTTCGAGTATAAACGTTGATTCGGTAACCGGCTGCTTGCCGTTTTTCCGTTGCCATTGCTGTTGTTCTTGTCGTTGCAACCCCAATACTACTCATTACCACTCGTAGTCTATCGCCAATTCATCACCAGTCCTAGAGGGGGCAGGATCGGGATCATATCAAACGGCTTTTCGCGTGCAACGATCACTCAATTCCCTTACTCGGGCCCTCACTCTCTCTCTCTCTCTCTCTCTCGAACTCTAGCTTCTCGCAGACATACCTAGGCACAACACATACATGCACATACATAGATAAATGCATCCGCGGACGCACACACACAGATAAACATGCCCCTGCTCAATTCGGGACATAAGCATACATGCAGGGTCTAAAGGTTGGAGGGTAGACGATGTAGATCCTACTCAGACAACGCTTATTCTTATCAGAACTATTCACTAACAAACGTAGACATGGCTACACACACACCTTACTCCACCCTACTCATACATTCATTCAATAATGGGACAGACAATTGTATAGACAAAGAGATAAGCTTGGCCGGGTGGAACACCTGTTCAGTCCGGATCATTTTGTTATCTGAGACGGATGTATGCGCACCCCAAAGCGTTTGGGCATGTATGCCCTGAATGCATCGGAAATAGTAGCATGCCAGTAACTGAATGAACAATTGGGTTGGGTGGGGGCTGGAGTGTCCAAATCTCGTGAATAAAAAGAAGCCTTTTCGCGTGCACACGCGCACTCACACTCAGTCTAAATCAGTATGGGAACATTCTGTCCTTCAACTCGGACTTGGGACAGTCCTGGG